AATTATGAGAATATTATCATGATGGAAACATGAGGTTGCTAAATGTCACTATTAAATGCAGCTAATCCATGATCCAGAGCACTGCAGCTCTTTTCCTGTTGTCCAAGCCCCTTGTGCTTACTCATGTCAGGTCCCCTCAAAACTTTCCTGGAACAGGTAGAAATTCTAACTCCAGCCTGCTGCTGGCTTGCCAGCCACCCTCAGCACACATTTGACATCTGTGTAGTGTCCCTCAGTTTCTTTTTTCACCAAACCCATTTTCAAACCACTTGTCACACCTTTATCAGACCAAGGGTCAGGGCCCATTCAGCTCTTCTCAATGTCCTTTTCTGGCCAGCCCCCAGCCATCACCTGTTTGAGTGGACTATGGGCAGCAGTAGTCCTGTTAACATGAACTTTTGTCTATTTTGGTGACTATCAGGGGTGTAGAACTAACATCATTGGGGTTTCTGTGAACACATACAGCTAGACAAGCTTCTCTGCACATTGCCAGTCTTCTCACAGTGTCTTTCTCAGGGCTTCACCAGGCTAGACTTGCCTCCATATCAAGTGATAGATTGGAGAATTTTCGGTGACCACCTTCAAGAGGACCTGGGTAACTGCTGAGCACTGGAATTCCTGGGGATTTTAAGGATTTTAGCTCTGCTGGTTTAATGCTTTACCATTAAAAGTCTTTGCCAAGAGAAGGAATAGATTTTGACACTTGATGATATGAACCTTGTTTTCTGAAGCAATAGTGTCTCAAGTCTCCAAATAATACTTTCCTGTACCACATACATACGTGCACTAAATCCCAAGAGGACTTCACTTTCTGTTAGCCACACACAGCCACAGGCTGCAAGTTCTCTCCTAACATCAGTTCTTCAGGTCACAACTAGGAAGATGCTGAGAGAGACCACAGTCTCTTATGTGGGAAGAGACCTCATATGCCACGAAAATGTCCACATGTTCTGTGCCCTGTGGAATAATTTGTCATTACTTGACAATACCATATTCTAGATGCAGGTCCAGAGACTCGCTGGGGAAAGTTGACAGGCCAAATCTGGGGCCCCTTCCTGGTTGGGGTTTTGTACCTGGCTCTCACCCTTTTTTTTTTTCTCTAAGAATGGTTAGTGAATAATGCTGAGATTTGAGAAAGCTTTTTTTTTTTTTCCTTTTTTTATATACAGGAGAGTAGATGAACATAAATGGTGCAGACAAGCTGGAGCAAAATGATTCCTAAATAGCATCAGCTGGTGTTGCAGCCAAATGACAAAGTAGAGATGCTCTGAGTGTAGTCCCTGTGTCTGTGCTCATCCTGGGCCTCGAAGCCTGCAGTGACAGCAGGAAGGCTTTCCAGTTTGCTCTGGGCAGTGGTCTGACACAGTAATGAAAATATGTTGATCTAGAAGCCTACTTCATGATCACTCTGAAGACCTCTCAAAGAAGGGCACCTAAATGCTCCGATATGAGGAATAAGGTTTATAGCTACTGATGACAATGAGTCGGAGTGGCTCACGTTCAGTAAAAGTTAATTGAAACTTACTCAATTCTCTTTCCCCATCTCATTAATGTTTCATTTTTGGAGTGCAAAATTTTCTTTGCGCAGCCACTGGCATGTTGCACTGCATTAGTTTGCCAAACACCTTTGGATTTTATAGTCAATATTGTCTCAGTATGTAGCCTACATTGTTTCTGAAGTTGGCCTAAACTCACACCAACTAACTCCAGGCTCTGGTTTGCTTTAGGCCACTGTGCTGGGCTTCCAGAGCCCTGCCCAAGTTCCTTACAACTCACTAGGATTCTTTCCACTGGCTTTTTGCAGTACTTGGATCAGATCTGTAGTGTGTAATTCCTCTTCCCACTTCCTCTCCCTTCCCTGAAATATTTTCTAGGAAGAATAACAGTATTGGGCCAGGTTTTCAGTTCCTATAAAACAAAACAGATTTTTTTCAAGTCAGCAAACCTATGCTCATTGCCATCAACTTTATATCTTTACATGCAGCCTAATACCTTTTTAATAAGACATAAAGCTTTCTAAAGTTATTTATGTGAAAACCAGAACTGTTTAGATTATATTTTACTTTGAGGACAAAGTCCTACATAATGATAACTTAGTTCACCTTTTACTGACAATTTCCCATGCTATCTCTCGATACAGCCACAATGCATTCCAAACCAATCTGTAATTTCTCCCTCTGTGATGCTATTGTCTGATCACCTGGTTTCTTCTCTGTTTGCTTCACCAAAGATTCAACTTAAACACAGATTCTAGAGAAAACAGATTTTGGGACAGGTCTGTTTCAGAAACAACTGGAATAATCAAGATTTACAGTAATCATAAACACATGTTGGATTTTATTTTACAGAAAGGGTTTTCTCAGTTTTAGTTAGGTGTATTTTCACACTTATTCACCAGTGTCATGAATTGATTTATGCTGATAACTAATAAACTTTATTATTGTAAAACCCAACTTCCTTCTTAGAGATCTCATGCAGTGGAAAAGCTGAATTGGGTGGATCATAAAATCTCAAAAGTTTCATCTACAGCTGAAGTATGTTGGGGAGGAAACTTATTTCTCAGTTAGAAAGTAGAGCAAGGTGGTTTTTGTTTTTTTTTTTTTTGCCTTGGTGAGAAAGCCTTTATACTTCTGTGAACCTGGAACGATTGTGAAGCTAAAAGAATTATTCTGGCTTTGTGCTCATGTTACTAACATCAAAATATGGCTGTGAGAGTAAAATGGTTCTTTCGTGGCATGTAGCACAGCATGAAGAATGCCTATATTTAGGATGTAGGAAAACCCAGTCTCTATAGAAAGCAAGCATTCAATGAATTTTATAATAGTATGATAATACAAAGAGAAAGAGAAAAGAGGGGAGAGACAGACAATGTACATTTAACCTGAGCAACAGGAAATAACATCCCAGCAGTAGGTTTTATTTGTCTGCACGGTAGTCCCTTAGGGAAATTGAACCAAATATACTTTTTGCTAACTTTCCATTCCTTAACTCTTAATCAAAAGTCCAGATACTAACTGCTCTTGGAATGTGAAACCCCCTGTGACAATAAGTGGAAACTGAAATTCAGTAAGTTAACTCCTTCCCACAGCAGAGTCACATGTAGTGGAGCAAAGTTTGGCTTAAAATGTTTTAACGTGGTAAGTTTTGGCATTTCTCAAATGCTTTTTTAGGCATTCAAAGAAGAGAAAGTTGCTAAATAAAATTCTGTAGACTGTGTTGTCTCAAGGCTGTGTCACCATTTGAACTGCAGTTTTCAAACTTGATATAAAACCTGTTTGCTTCTTTCATGATAATGAAAGTAATTCATGATAATGAAGTAACTATTTTTCAGTATCTATAAATGCTTAATCTTTAAATCTGTCTATAGATATAGAATCTATAAATCAGCTTCCCACTGTGTTTCACATTAAACCCAAAATGTAGAAAGAATTTCCATGTGTTAAAAGTATTAAATGTTAGAAATGAAAACTTTCAAGCAAGAGTTCCTCTGCAGCTGCTTATTCAAATGAGGAGTTTGAATCCTTATAAACCAACCCTGATTTTCAGACTTTAGTAAGTTGTACAGCTTTCCATGCTTTCTTCAAGTCAATCTTCTCATGTAGCAAGTCAAATAACACTTTTGGGTTGAGGTGTGGTGTTTGTTGGTGCTTTTCTTTTTTGACTTACATTTCTGCCTATTGTTATCTGTGATTGTGTTTGAGAATTTTTCTTGTTGTGTTGTCTGCACTGTGAATTGTGCTATGCCACAGAAGGCTCATGTGCCACCTAAGTCTCAGCTGCAAATATTGTCAGCCCTCAAGGGAGTTTTGAGCATGTTGACATTGACACTTCACACCCATAAATCAAAATGTCGTTACCCAGACTAGAGTAAACATCTTCTAGCATGCCTTTTACAGGGCCCATTTTTAATTTCTGGTGCTACAGCTAAATGAGATTGTGCATTTCGGGAGATGAACTAATCCAAGCCTTTTTCAATGTGTGGTTTATCATGTGGCTTCTATAGGCTATGCTGCTTTATGATACCTCACTAGTATTGATCTGGCTGCCCTGCGTGGAGAACTGGAAGTGAGAAATCAGTGAAATTGCCAACCCAACTCACAGGTGCAGACACAGAAGGAGTTACTTTGGTACTTGGCAAAAAATGGTTTTTGAGTTTAGGCAGAAAATGAGTGTGGATCTGGAGGATATACATTAGAGATGAGTGCCTAATTTGGCAGCTAGACACCCTTGTCATCCTGAAATTTGGTAGGTCAAGCCCCAGCGTTTCAGGAATAAAGACAGCAAACGTAGGCAGCACTGAGCTGTCCTGCTAGTGAGAGCCTGGGGACTTCTCTTGTATTTTCTTTCTTAACTCAGCATAAATTCAGGTACCTCCAAACAGTTCCAGACACATTTCTGATATCCATCATTACATTAATTTAATTACAACATTAGATTATTTTAGCTAGGATGTACATCAACAATACTAAATTGTTGAACTAAATGGTACTTCATTTTCTAATTTTTTTTTTCTTTTTGATATTTTAGGAGGAGACTTTTTTGGTTGTTTGCCCTTCACTACTCCTTTTCTACAGGTCCTTATGCTATAAAGAGAAGCCAGTTTCAACACACATAAAATGGTGTCTTTACTAACATGTAAAAAAAAAATTCATCTGAAAACCATGCATGTTCCCTAGTATGATTATACTAAACACATGAAGAACAGGATCACTCGGTGCTACAGAACTAGAAAAACATATAGCATTGCTTGCATAAATTACAGAAGTCTACTTTTAAATACTATCTCATTTTCTTACATTTTAAAAAAATTACTTATTAAATTCTAATAAAAACCATTCTACTGTTTCATTTCCTTTCCTTTTATTATAAAGGAGACTAATGACTTATGCCTGTGACTTTTAGTTGAAGTAACAGCTTTTTCCAGCAGAAAACCTGTGATTTCCCAGTGAATGCTTCCTTCTCAAGAGTTTGTGGGTTTTTTTTCCTGTGTGTTGTTTCAGATGCTGCACAACAAGCACGTGATGGTTCGAGTTGGGGGAGGATGGGAGACTTTTGCAGGTTACTTACTGAAGCATGACCCGTGCCGAATGCTGCAGATCTCCCGCGTGGATGGGAAAACTTCTCCAGTCCAGAGCAAGTCTCCAACCCTCAGGGACATGAATCCAGACAATTATCTGGTTGTTTCTGCCCATTACAAAACCAAGAAGGAGATTAAGTGAAATAAGCCTCTCATGTGATTGGGACTCTGTGTACGTAGGTCCAGATTATTTTCTCAAGTGTAGTAAATTTAGTTTCTGCTTTGAAAGGACCTTGGAAAATTTAAGACAGACTGGAAATGACAACCCATTTTGAAGATCTTTGAACTGTAGAACTATTTATTTCTAGTACCGGATCTTTTATAGCAAATTACCCTTGATAGGCTAATTACTACAATCAGATAAGAAATAGACATATATTTTTAGCCAAATTATTACTCTTTAATATGTGAATGTATACTTAGAGTTACATAAAGGAGTGAATCCTGTTAATGGAAGAAAATAGACACTACAATATATTTGTATGAAAATCTTATTACGTTGAATCCTTGACTGTTAGACTAGTTGAAAAATATATATGCAGGTGGAAATGAATATTTGTGGAAATTATTTGGTGATGCCTCTTGAAAAATGAAATAAAAACGGACTATTTTTATGGGTTGCAACATTTTCTTAACCAGTAGAATATAAAGACTTACTGCATGCCAAACGACTTCCCAAGACAATTATTTTAAAAAGAAAAAGCTCATGAAACACCCCCCCAACACACCCACCCCCTCTACTCTTTGAAGCTGAAGACAATGCTCAGTGCTAAATCTGTATGTAGAGCCTTCCTGTTTTTTATGAAGTTGCCCAATATAGGAGCATGGGGAAGTTGAGAGGTTGCCCCTTCCTCTGTCAGACAATAGAGGTGTAAGAGTGGGGTGAGGGACTGCACCCCATGGAGGGGAGCAGGGACAGAGGCACAGCCCTTTGCCCTGAGGAGGGGCTTCACAGATGCTCGTTCCTCCTGAGGCACAAAACTCTCCCCTGCTCTTGAAGCTGAGCTTTCCCTTCCCCTGATTTCTAATTTTGTTGGTTGTGCCCAATGTGAGATATTCACAACCCTGTCAGAGTGATTCACATTCTTGTAAATCATTCACACACCTCAAAAATAGCTAAAGGCAATGGGGGCTTAGTTCATTATTTTGGCTACTTTTCTATGTTTATATTTGGTAATTTATGTGCCTTGTAACTTTCTAGAGAAATCATTTTATAGGATTATTTCACTGACTATAAATTTGAGCAGAACTCAGTTGTTTCATTAAAAATGAAATAAATTTTTTTTTAAATACTCCTACATTTTGAATTCTTATTTATTATCTGTAATGTGTGTTCCCACACTTTGCCACCACTGACTGAGTGCCTACAATATACAACTCTGCTTGCTAACCTAATAAGGAGGTACAGAGTGAATGGGACAAGCATTCACTTACTACAGATGGCACAGAAATACCTGGATTTTACTGAAAAGTAATTTTTCTGTACAGGATAAAAAAATCAAAAGCCTTATTGAAATAATTTTTAAGTACCAACCGTTATTTCTTTGTGTCTTTTTAAAGTTTAATTTAAAAACATATCCTTATTATCTTTTCCTGTGGTCTTTAAAATCAACAGCAAAACACCTCCTAGATAGCAGGGTCAAGACCTTCTTTTATGTTCCAGCCCTTTTTGGAATCATCATGTGGAACCATTCTACCTGCCCACCTAAAAGGATCTGCTAAATACAAACAGTTCACGACTGCTTGGTGCACCATGGAGTCATAGAATGGTTTAGGTTGGAAGGTTAGAAGATCATCCAGTTCCAACCCACTCTGCCATAGGCAGGGACTGCTAGGTTGCAATACATCATTCCAAACATTTTTTTAGAAATTGCAGCCTTCTGTTCTTATTTTGAGACATTTTCTGGGAAGATTAAACGTATACTCAAGCACTATGTCCTTTGAAAAGCCATAGGAACACCAAATTCTCATAGAAGCAATGTATTTAGCTCTTATGGGAGCAAAGAACAGACCACAAGCACCATTATTTTTAAAAAATGTAGCACAACTGAAAAAATGATGATCTTAATATATACACCAAGAGATCTGTTTTCAAATGAACAGCAAAGGAAAAAATCACTTGCTCAAATGTCAGATGTCTATTTTGAAATAATGGTTACATTTTTAAACATAACTAGTTGTATATCCATCATCCAAGATTTAAGTTTGCACTATTAGTATGGGTTTTTTAAAATATTTGAAGGTGTTTACATGTTAGAAATGAAGAGCAGATAATTATACTTCTATGAATATATATATATAGGTTTATTTTAATATTAAACTTTAGCAAATAACCCTGCTAAATCCAACTGCTTTATGTGCTTGGGCTGTAGCTATTAAAATAGTCTTTTTTTGATTCAAGACATTCAAGCATCTTAGGGGAAAAAAAAAAAAAAAAAGAAAATCACATTAAAACACTTCCAGGCTTAAAACCAACTTAGCGAGTTCCAGAATTGGAGACCTATAAAAGACTTTTTAAAGCATTGCCACTACCACCTAATCTGTGTGTAAAGCTTGCAGGTGGGACTTGCTGCATCTGATGTACCTGGTGAGGGTGCGGTTAGCAGAGGAGGGAATTAAAGCAAATTAAGAAAAAAAAAAACAAAACAGTAAGCTCATTAGCTCTGGAGGAAGGGGTTGGGAGTACTTCACTCAGGAGGTAAGTGTTGCTGAGCAGATAAATGGTATTTTCTTAATGCCTTAGGTCCTAAATAGGAGTTGGGGAGTTTGTTAGGAGCCTAAAGCTCAACTGACAAAGCTAAAGCTGAGCAGCAAAATCTTGCTTAAAGATGTGGGGTGCTTGTTGCAGTGATAGGGACAGAACAGGCTTTGTGTAGAAAGTATCTGGGGAGAAAAAAAAAAAACTGTCTTTGACCAACTAGCTGTAGTGGATGATGCTTGAAGTTTCTATGCTAAAATCTTTGGTGTTAAGGCACCTAGTGTAGATTTCTAGAAGGCTGAACTGAATGATGGAGGTTCTACAGCTCTTCTGTCCCCCAGGTGAGGGAGGGTCTGCTGAGACTGGAATAGTTCCTTGTTAAAAGGGCAGGAGGTGAGATGCCTTGGAAGATGACTGTAAGGAAGAGTGCCGTGTAGTGGTTTTAGCTTACTCTGCTGCTGTGTAACTCATCTGAATGGGAGTGTTGAAGAGTTCAAGGGCCTAAAAAGATGGACTGTTATGAGAGACAGTGAAGGCTCCTCTCGAAGTCCTTGTGGGGTCGCAGCAAACTCTGTAGAAACTCCTACTGGCTTGGAGTGAGCAACTGTGCTGGAACTCAGGATGGCTAAATTAGGTAAGATTGCTCTTAAAAATTATTATAATTGTCTGCTGTTAAATCAGCATCACCATGCAGCAATTCAGGATTAGTTTGGAGATGTAACTGTAACATCTGTTATTGCTCATTAGAGGAGGTAACTTTGGTCACCTTGTTGTTCATATATTACATGGAATTTTTCTTCCAAGCAGGGTTATTTAGGTAACTGATTGAGGGCAGGGTCTTCTCCTCTTTTTATTGTAGTGATAATTGCTCCTTCCTTTACTTCACCACCTTTTTTCCAACTGCAATTTAGAGATGATAGGTAAAATGTACAGAGATGAGCTCAAGTGGGATGAGTGAAATAAGGAGGTGTCAAGATGTGTGTGTGGGAAGGTAGGGCAGGTTTCGTCTAACTTAAGTCCCAACACTGACTTTGTTATATGTGTTCATTTTAAATTGGGGAGATGAGCTGTTTGCCACACTGTGGTGTTCCAGAAGCACCTGCTTAGACATGCTTGCAAGGGTTTGGTTCTTCTCTGGCTCACCTCGTGGGCTGCTGGTGGGCAGCCCCTGATGGGGAATGAGGCAGAGAGCTTTTCCTCAGCTTGGGGGTCTCCTGCTGTCTTAGCCTGGGGTATGTGAGGAATCTAAGGTGAAACAGACAAGTGGAATCACGCGAACTTTTACAGGCCTGGAAAGGCTTTTCCATCCTCATCCCCCTGCTGGCGCTGCTTGTGCCTGATGAGCTGTGTCCCAGCAAGGTCCCCTGTCCCCGTGCCAGAGCCACGTACTGAAGCCATCTGCTTTCCTTGGGCCCATGGTGGTGCTGCCCACCCCTGTGGAGATGCAGCTCCTGTGTCCTCCCCATTCTTGGGGAGTTCTGCCCCGAACACTCCCCCTGACATAACCTTGTGTATTTTAACAACAGGCAGTAGCAGATCGTTTCATTTTCTGTTACTGCAACAAAAATTCTGCTATTGCAGTGACCGAGAGGCAGCCCTTTCATTTCAGCTTACCAGCATTGATCTTTGGCTGCTGGGACTTTTTCCAAGTGATCTGCAAGAAAATGCTTTCAGAAGGTGGAGAAAAAAAAGATTTCGTGGTACTGCTGTAAAGCAAACAAAATGCCAGCTGCCTGTATAACTTTACATGAATAGGTGCCTTTTAACAGCCTCTAAGGTGAAGTAAACATCTAGGTTGGGGGAAATAAGGCCAAAATTCCTATTGTGTTCTGTATTAATGCATCACTAAGTGGTAGAGAAGAGAGAGGGGGATGTGGATTTGTACAAGGACAGAGCAGCTTTAACCTACCTGGCTCTCAGCCTGAGTGTTTCATGGTGTGCTGGACTAGTTGTTGGTTGTGTGCTACTAAACTGCAGGTTTTTCTGCTTTCTCAATGGAAATTAATACTACCCCAGAAGTTAGTTCAACAGGAGGTGAGTTTATTTACCCAAATAATTTCCCAGATTCAGTTCAGACTGCCCATCTGAACAGTGAGGACAGGCATGGCATAGAAAATTCTTTAAAAACAGCTGTATCTGTTAGTGATTTGTTCTACTGAACTATGCACTGCTAAATGCTCTGATGAGTTTCTAAGCTGTAGAAATAAATCTGACATTCTAAATGAGGACTCTGGAGAAGCACAGACATATCTGGCTTTTACTGAGAGGATGGGGAGAGGGAAGAGCAGTGTTCTATGGCAATTCTGAATTGTAGGAACCACTCCTTAAATACCAGGTCCATGCGACCTGGGGTGATTCAGACCTTTGCTCTCACCTTCCAGAGAAGGTGCCAGGCAGACAGCCACAAGCAAGCCAAGTGCCTTGGCAGGACAAAGAGCTGTGTG